CCCGGTCCAGCAGCCTTACCGGTTCTCCGTACCGCTTTCAACACCTTCTTCTCCTCTAACCGGTATCCCCTGGCGGTTATCTTCTGGGTTTCCATCTCCACTTCTACTTCTTCCACTCCTGTGAGCATTGTACCGGAGATAACCGGAGATTCATCAGTATTAGAGAACTTGGTTTTGGAAGTTTAAATTTTTTTTAAAATTAAGAATTTTGGTAAACCGAATAGCGAAACCTTTGAGCTTGAGGAGAGTCTTCTTCAACTTGGAAGCACATCCTTCACAATCCAAGTTTGGCACTCTTATCTCCACTGTCATCTGCATACCCATCAACATTAATCTTCACCTTTACGTACATATATATATATATGTATGCGTGTGACAAAATTCCGGTTTGGTTTTCACTCTTATGTACATAATGTAAAACAAGAAGCGGGGAGAGAGAGAGAGAGAGAGAGAGAGAGAGAGAGAGAGAGAGAGAGAGACTTACAGACATTCTGAGACGCTCCGACTGATCTTGTGCAAGCTGGAGAAGGAAGAACTTAGCGCACATATATATATATATATATATACAGGTGCATATATATATGTGTGTATCTATAGGTTATATTTATATTTTTATTTTTTGGTCGCGAGAAAGGGTCTTTGGGTTGTGAAACTGGGAGACAGAGGCAGAGCCAAGCACGCGTGAAACAGGAAAGAAAGGTGCGAGCTTTATGTTTTCTCTTATCCCCAATTATGTCATCCTCCCTCCCTCCCTCCCAAACTTATGTATAAATTTCAACCATAATTGTCATATTCTTTTCAAGTGTTTAGTTATTTAAAGGAGTAATATTCTTGCAAATAATTTCATTCTAGTTATTTGATTTTATATAAATTTTTTACTAGGTTCGAATTTTCAATACAGTTCCAATTTGGATTTTATTAATGTACTTACTTGTTTTAAGTAGATTTTTTTCCTATTAAATTTATTTTTATTGAAAATATATATATAACTTGTTTTTTTTTTATATGGGGTTCATTTTAATAAAATGATGCATTATTTGGTATGATTTGATATATTGAAACCGAAATTATCATCTCTATAGAAATATATTCGGCGTGAATCTTTATACGAAGTTTGAGCTTTTACATGTGTAATTGTGTATGTAATTATATACGTGGAATATTAAGGTAGGGACATGCAGTTTTTATTAAGCATGGCTTTAATTCGAAATTTCAAAGGACACTTCTAAAGGTTGTTTCTTCATAATTCCGTCGCCCCCTCCTCCATTTTGCTTTGCTACAATCATTCTGTTCCCACTATATATATTGAAAAAAACATATTATATCAATTATAATTAATTTATATGATGTTAAATCATTAGTAAAATGTATAGTAGATATCGAAAATTTTGAGATGAACAATTCGAATCTATATATTAGATATCTATCTTATTATTTATTTTAAATAATTTCCTCGATTTTCTTTTAAATCTGTCACTTATGCATCATTCCATTAGTGCATATATATATACATATATTCATAAATATAACGTTTTATATGATGCTAACAACAATAGACCACAAAACTATTATTTATTATTATTCTTTAGTGCAGTTGTCATCAGAATGATGGTTAATTAATAACTACTTCAGTCGTAACATTTACATTAAAAATAAAAGCTCGTCTATTTGATTTACTATTTCTTTTCAAAGAATTTTAAAATTTTCTATCGTGCTATAAGATTTGTTTTACGGTTTTCATTAGGATGCAAGATACTATATACACCAAATATTTATAAGATACAACAAAATTGTTGATAATCAAATACATTACATATTGTATGTATATATATATAATAATACCTATTTTTTATACCAAAAAAAATAATACCTATTTTTTTATGCGCCTCCAGCACATCATGATTACTTTTTTCTTTCATTCGAATTTTTAAACCATTTGTTCCCAAATTTATTTATTTTAATTACCTCTCCCTTTTTTTATTTGAACTGTAAATTCCGACAAAAACAGAGCTGAAAAACCACGAAGACAGTTATGTAAGAGCTTTTCCCGCAACCAAAACCCGACAATCAGATACGAGAAAGTAGCATACAAGAGGGGTCCAATTCCACGAGCCCATGTGTCCACAATGTGCCTTGGTTACACAATAAATGTCCAATTTGTTGTATAATATTTTCATATTGATTAGAATTTTAATGGATAAATAGAGATATTATTGCAAGATTTTGTATATATATTTCGTTATTTTTTTGTAGTATAATCTTGTACAAGACAAACCATTTTGGGGGACAGCAAAATTTTACACGCTATGTACATAGCATGTAACAATATATGATAATTCATCGAATTCCCAAATGATATACTAACCAAAGTTGGTACCCTTTGTCCATTAACCAATAGACAGTCGATGCCATTTCTGATATACATGGAATGTATTACTTTAATTTTAAAATCACACAAGAAATTATTATTGGGCCCTAAGCATTTAAGAAATAATTGAATAAACTATCATAACAATTAAAAAAAGGGGAAGAAAAGGGCACACAATTTCATAATACGAATCCAGTACCAGCAAAATCGAAACTAAGGATGAAACAGCACAGAAAACGCAGTCCGACACAAAAAATTCAGATAAGACAACGCTGAATGGTTCAAGATTTGACCTAAAGCGTGAATCTTTTTACTTCTTCTCTTCTTTCTCGGCCTCGGCCGCTCTCTTGGCTCGGGCCCCGACATGGCGTTCGTTTGTCCGTTCCAGACGAATCTTGCCGTAGGCCTTGAACGATTTCAAGTCCTGGGTAATCTTCACAAGATCGACCGCTGGCTTCTCCCTCGCGATCAGCATGTGATCTCCTTGGACTTGGGTGGCGTTTGCAAGCTCCTCGGCTGCAGAATCACCAGCCTGAATTTGACAAACAATGTTAGAAGCTTTTCATCAAATAAAGTGAAGTAAGAGTTCTGATCATATGGATTGGTGGTAGTGTACAAGTAATGTCACAGGTTAAGGGTTTAGACTTGGGGAGTTTAACAAAGTTTCAAACGTATAAAAGTACAAATACCTTGACTTTACGGGCACGACGCGGGAATATGACCAACTTGGCCTTGTAGGTTTTCAACCTTTGGACATTTGTCTGGAGACCCTCCAAGGAACGGTTCTTACGACGGTGATCAACTGCAATACCGATTGTTGGAGCCAACTTCTTCGGGATACCGGCAGCCTGATTTATCGGAAAAAAGGCAGAACATATGTCAATGAAGTCAAACCAGGTTTTATTTCTAACAGCTTGAATATCTAAAAGAAAGATGAAACCAAACCTTGAGCTCTTCAAGGGTGAATCCTCTACCAGCTCTGACTTTCATGTTGTACTTGAGAGTTTGTCCGTGCACAACAGGACGAAGCGGTCCGGCAGTGGGACGGGGGAAGATCTTCACCGCCTTTTCCTGTCTCGCTGGGAAACACAACACAAAAAGAGAAGTGTAAGACAATTAAGCAGCTTCCACACTATAACATGATACTATGTTGAAGCAAATGCGGATCTAATATTGTTTTCCGATGAGAACCCGGGAATAAAGAGGTGATGTTACGCACCGATCCTCCTCCGGGTTTTCCTGGCAGGCTGGTTGAACCATGTTTTCACATAGTTCTGCCAGTGCTTCTTGAAGTGACCATTGGGAATCACGTTGTTGTGCTTCATTGCTTCCGAGTCTCAGCTGCAACAAACCAATACTGAACGTGAGGTGAAAAACAGATGAAAATAATCCACTTAAAGACTGTCTGGAGACAATCTCACAGATTCAAAGAAACTCCAATAGCGTCTGTCAATTTTGCATCAACAAGTCGCACCATCATGCAAATATAAAATACAGATTGTATGCGTAAGTAACAACAGCCTCGGAGAATCTGTCAAACGATCTCACGGAATCCGCAGTATCGTCTCATATTAATTTTCAAAACTCTATGCTTGAAGGTGCCCTAAGATTGATCTCCGAAAACACAGTTTGAACAGTGAAATTGGCATAACCGATTTGGGAATCAAATCGACGAGAACCAAATCAAAGGCATCAATGAAGAGACAGAAAATTCAACAACAGTAACCCTAACTTCTACTTGTTGAACTCACAGAGAGCCAAATCAACGACATTACAAGTACCTGGAGAGCGCCCCTCCTCTCTCTCAGCGGCAGGAAATGGCTAGGGTTTTTTGGAAGTTCGGTTCCCTATATACATGTGGAACCCTAATTGCAAAGTGTGCCCCTGTATTGGCATCCCTAATTTGGCCCAGCCCATTAAACCCAAGATTTGTGATCTTTCTATTAACACTTATTTCATTTTTTTAAAACAAAAAAAACTTTACATACAAGTCACGAAGCGACTAAATTGGAATATCCTATATTATTTTCGAGTTCACGACTTTAATTTTTTTTATAGAAAAATTATGATCGTTTCATTTCGTTTTAAATTTTAGTTTAATTAAAATTTTATTTAAATGTATTTTTTAATTGTTTTTATTTTTATTCTGTTTGAGCGTTGGTATTTGGCGTGGATTTTATATACTCAAATCGATACATACAATGGTTTATATCTTCCTCATTCCAAAACTAGGGTCCGAATTTTAGAATTTATTACCACATTTTTAACAAAAAAAAGTTTATTATTACACATAAATCTTATTATAAATATGAATCATGGTGTAGATGATTTGAAAGTCTAAGCGTTGTATAATGTTAGACCGTTAGCTTACAATAAAAATGATAACATTTTAAGCATATTGTTTTTTTTTTTAAATTTGTATGCAATTCAAGTCTATATTAGGAATTCATATGTCAATGAATATTTTATGAAATTTAAAATAGAAAATGAATTGGAGATTTCGGTTACAATAATCAACTATTGAGCGACAGAAACAAAAACAAAAGTCAAGTCTCAACTTCTTATACCGATATTCCATTCTCTTTCACTTCACCTTTTACACTCCAGTACATGTTGTAATGACCCAATTACAACAGAAAATTCTTCAAACTGTTTCCTACTCTTTCTCTTTTTCTTTGTTTCTTAAATTTTTCTCGGCAGCCAAACAACTGGTTTGCTTTTAGGTAAAATGGTATAAGATCAGTCTTAGCTTATAGCTTCGTTTGTCTTGGTATTCATCGATTTCTCGATCTTTATCACAGATTGAATTTCACTTTTAAATCTGTAATGTATACTCGAATAGAGTGTATCTGCTTTGCCTGATGATAATCAATACTTTTGTTAGTATTGTCCACTGTATATTCGTGTTTTTCGTGAACACTTTTATCCGTTCCATGTACAATGAGCAGTTTTCTCTGTTACATGTAAATAAATGGCTTGAGCACATTGCTGTTCCTAGCGATGCAACTTTTGACCATGCCATCGTTTGGATCTTATGAGAAATCCTATATTCCCTACATCTGAGGAGAAATCCGTGATCATCGTTCAATCTCTATGTTTTTCTTATGTTAAATCTCGATATGATACGGAGATAATGGAGATCCCGACGAAGAACAAACGGGGAGACAAGAATTGTTAGCCGAAGAGCACAACCTCGAGTACAAGATGAGGCTACATTAATGGGCTACCTACAATAACCGTTCCTTGTGCTGAGCCGCCACTAGGGTTGGACGCGGGTACCAAACCCGAGGGTCCCATGGATATCATCCCAAATGTACATGGAATTAAGGAGTCCGGCCCTGATGGGTGTGATATCAAGTACGTCGTCAATGAGTGGGGATTCAAGTATGGATTCCGTTCGACGAAAATCAAAACCCGTGGATAACCAAGGGAGAGAACAGGGAAGAGCTTCTGAGTTAAACATGATCAGCCGTGCAAATGAGGAACGATGAATGATTCAAGGATTTCGCCTCACCTCGCTCTGGCCCTTTCTATCTTCGCTTCCGTTTGTCGTCTCTCTCTCCTCGACAGTCAACACCCCTTTCACCCCTTTCAGTCTCACCCCTCGCTTCACTCCCCTCAACTCGCCCGTTCACAGCCTCACATTTCACACTCGGCATTTGGATACCCGCAGATACTCCAACCATCACCACACCCTGTGGTATCCAACTCACGAGCTTGGAATCGGTATCTCGACTGAGGAAACCGAGGGGGTGAGGGCTGAGGCTGAGGTCGGATACATCGATGAACTCGGGTATCCAAACCGCACCCACCTATGTCACCCACCATCCCATTACAAGACTTTTGATCATGCCCACGAGGAAGACGAAGATGAGGACAGCGACGAAGCAGAGACGAAGAATTCACCTTTGCTCGGGTCACCCATGGTGGGCAAAACATCGTCCTGAACAGCAAGTTGAGCTGGGACGAGCTGATCGAGCGTCTATGAGCAGGACGATTCCGTTTGAAGAAAACTCAAAAGTCTTCAATGATAGTTGATGATCGACATGATAGTGTATGTAGCTGTTTATGTTCAGCTCGATTTCTCTATCTACATAAATGTAAGAATCCGTCAAAATTACAGTGTTATTTATGTTTCCAACTTTTCGTGAATACTAGATCTCCATGGGAGTACCACCACGATGGGGGAGAGATTGAACGTTTCGAAAGTTTAGGACTATTGTTCCTACGATTGAAGAATAAGAGGTTGGAAAATGAAAAATTCCATTGTTCCACCTCAAGTGGTTGATTCATATGACCTCAACACACAGACACAGATTTGAAGATCATAGGCAGATTCAGAAAAACAGTAAGTTTCGGGAAATAAAGAATCGAAGAGATGGGAAAATCGAAATAGGAATTAGGGTTTTTTGGGTTTAGGGATTGCACAAGACGATCTGAAAGCCTCTACCTGTGACTGACACTTCGTATGATCTCCTTTGTTCTCTGCCAAGCATTTCTTCAGCGCCTCCACATCGCACGCCGAAGCTATCTTCTTCACGGTGACGTTTTCAGCTTTCTTCTCATCCATCGTCGTCTTGTAAAGGTCTGTTTGGCTGCCGAGAAAGCCCGAGAAAATGGCGAACGAAAAAAAGATGTAGCACGAACAGTATTTTTCGCGAACAAAAAACGATGCCGTTTTGGATGATCACGTCACGTGATTTCAGCTTCGGCTCTTGAGAAAAGGCGTTTTACTTGACTAAAACGACACCGTAGCAGGGTATCCAAGCTTCTTACATACGCCCAAGGGGTGTGATTGGGGCGGGGCCCACTTTAACATACCAACAAGGGAGGAGGAGCGGCAGATTAGCGAATTTGAATTTACAGAACGGCTATTTCCTCTCTCTCTCACTCCCCGATTATATCAAATCATCCAAGCAAAAAGAGTAAGAACAGAAGAGAGAGAATCTACAGAAGAAATCAAATCTGGGAATTTTCAATTTGCCTATTTATAGTCTCTGCAGAAGGATCTGCTCAATTGGTGATAATTTGGAGGAATCTGAGCTTCGATTCTCGAAATAATGGAGGCGAAGGTGATGAGCCAGGGACAGAAGGTGGTCCGAGTGGTGGCTAGGGTTAGACCCGCGACGCAACTAGTCTCGGGTTCGTCTGTTACGGGTGATACGATGAGATCGGTGTCGGTTCACAAGCCTATGGGAGAAGAATCGGAGATGGTTTCGATTTCGTTTGGTGACCCATCCGCCAGGTAGATTAGTCTATATTGTTAGCTCTGGTCTTAAACGCTGTGAACCTACGGTGCTTTTTGGTTTCTCAGACCTTGGAAAGTTCTATTGAAGGGAAATTTGACCGATTTCATTCTCGGCTTGAGTTTTCTCAGTTTTTCTTTCTTTACACACTGTCAGGTTGCTGAGAAATTAGGGAGCATCTGTTCCCTGAAAAATAGATAGAACTACAATTTTCTCTTTTCCTTTGATTGTTTTTCTATTATGTTACTTTATGTGTTGTTTGCTTGCTGAGAACTATTGGAAAACATAAGTTCTGGGAGCTTAGATCTGAGCGGGAATAACTATTGATGATAATAGATAGCATTCTGGCCTTTGGATTTTGCTCTGAGGATAGAGGTTTTTGTGAGGTTTATGAACATGATACCATAGACAGGAGAATTACTTGAAAATTCTAATGGTTTGTGGAACATTTTCACTTTTCAATTTCATTTTGTAACAAACTTCATTGATTCGTAACGAGTTATCAATCCTTACGAGGCTAAAAAAGCACCGGGGATTATTTTACTGTGTTGTGCAGTTCAAAAGACTCTTATAAGCTGGACAACTGCTACGAGGGGGATGAATCGATGGGTTTAATCATTACAAGGGAGATTAAACCTCTGATCTCAGAGGTCTTTGATGGTCGAGATGCTACTGTAATTGCTTATGGAGCCAGAAGTAGTGGGAAAACCCATCTAATTCAGGTGAGTAAAGGAATTCTTCTTCTGATCTTTGGTTGATGCGGCTTGACTTTAGGTTGTTTGGACCCGAGGTTTTAACGGTGAGAACGCCTTATGTATGATTTTTTTCGAGGGATCGGATGCGGAACATGGCTTAGCTGTCATTGCCATGGCTGATATCATCTCTATGGCTAGGGAGAGGGGAGATTCTATATCTATATCACTTTATGAAGTTTCTCAGGAAAATGTGTATGACCTCTTACACCCAGAAAAGCCGACGGTTTCAGTACTGGAAGCAGCTAATGGGAAAGTTCAATTGAAAGGACTCTCCCAGGCATGCCATGCAATCTTCCATATTATTAAATTATATGATAATATGATAATTTGCGACATTAAGATCTTGAACATTGAAACGATTTTGTTTTTCAGGTCTCTGTGAAATCAATTTTGGAATTTCAAAACTTGTATTATGGTGGCAAGAAATTGCATAACGCGTCACAGAAGCTTATCAGCGAGCCTGCTCATAGGAGCCATAAGGGTCTGATGATACGTGTTTCACCTCAAAATGCTACTTTAGGCTCCCGGGGGAAGATGAACTTTCTTGATTTGGCAGGTTGAGTATTTTCATTTAACATTTGCTGTACTTCTGGATTTGATAATTCTGTCTGTCAACACATGATGTGTGTTGTTTGTCTGACAGGATATGAGGACCCCAGAAAACAGAATAGTGATGGTCAAGCTCCTCTTGAGATTACAAGAATTAATAAGTCGATATATGCGTTTCAAAATGTCATGTATGCACTGAACGCTAACGAATGTCATGTGCCTTATCGGGAGAGCAAACTCGCTCGTATGCTGAAAGATTCCTTGCAAGGATGCAACAGAACTTTGCTCATCACTTGTTTGGTTAGAATGCTTCAATTCCCGTTGAGTTTTCTGATCTTATGTGTTAGTAAATATAAACTCAGCTGATGCTAACTGTAACAACTTCTTGATGCAGGCCCCAGCATTTAGCCAAGACTCAGTTTACATGCTGAGTTTAGCATCTCGAATTTCTTTAGGCAGTAACCGAACCATGATGACCTCTACTAAGAATATCAACAGTTCTGCAAAATCTAATGTATCATCTTTGCAAAGGATAAAGACACCGCTGACAGTTTCTGCTACTGCAAAGAAGCAGACGGGACTACGGGGCAATTTATCTGAAAGGAAGACCAAAGTCAACACTGTGGCTTCTGCAATGAAAGCAAGGTAAAACTTTCAGAACAATCTCTGGTTCAGTTCTTTAAGCTGTTATATGCTAGGTGTCTTTTTTCCCTTTCTTGATCAAACTTATGTGGAATTAATAACGATTTTGTTCTTCTCATGATTGAAGGAGGCTGTTTGGTGAAGCAAGTGGTTCAGTGAAATCGAAAAAAGCTTCTAAGGTAATCGTCTTTGCATTATAATTCAATTTTATCTAATTCATTTGGCTTTAACACCTGGAAAGTGAAACAAGGATGACACTGGAATTGATAGAACAGTCTCTTCCTTGTCTAAGTGAAATATGATGGCCTAGTTTTGTCCTTTTTGTTTAATATACTTACACATTACCTAAAGTTATTACTGGATTAAGCAAGTTTCATTTCCTGCATAATCCGATATGAGATAATTCTGAAAATTTGGATACTAATTATCCTTTCTAACCTTGTACAATACTTTGCTTATCTTATAGCAGGAGATCTCTTCATTAGAAGTCACATCAAATATTCAGGCTTCCATATTAGAAGAAGTAACTTCCTGCAAGCTTGAGCTAAATGGAACTTCATGGTTTTCCGTTCTGAAGGGATGATTGACTAATAAATTCTCCCATTACTTACTGTAGGAAATTTCTTCATTGAATATTGCCTCAGATGTCCAATCTTCTTTGCCAGAAGAGGTAACATGCTGGTGCTAGTTGGAAAGCCAATATCTATCAGTGAAACACAATTACCATTCAATGATTCACGGACCATGGTCTGTTTGCAGGAAAATTCTGCTCTGGCTTTCTCAAGCTCTCCAATTATCATCAATGCTGTAACTTCTCTATCTTTATTTCCTTTCCATGTCGCTTGTCATAAATTATTTATTATTTATGCAGAGTTAAGGTTGTTTTCATTTACCAACTTCAGCTCATGTAGAATGGCTGATGTTGCTTCATTTCATTTCTAGGAATGTTCTACCATTGAATCTTGTAGCTCAGGCACAATTGACAGAGTAGATAAGGTGTTTTTAAGTCTTTCCATTTGTTTTAACCAATGGGTAGGTGTCAATAGTACTGAACTTACTTCGTATCATCTTCAGGAGACACCGGAGAAGCTTGAGGAAGGGTCTGTAGGAACAAGCCCTTGTACTGGCATTGCTACTCCAGGCAAAGGTGAGTTTGGAATGTCTTTGACAGAGTTTTCTTTACATAATTGTTAGGTGTTGTCTTATTCTGCAACGAAACAAAGCAAAAATTGTCGGCAAGGAGTACAACAACAGCTCAGTCACCAAAGAAAATTTGACTTTTGTTGACGGAGACGAGTTGGTGTTATTTCTTTAGAAATTGAAAAACTCTCATAAAAAACCTTCTTTGTATTACAACACAAACATTACACAACATACACTTTTACACACATATACTGGTGGTCCTTATCTTATTGTTCCTCTCAGAGAGATTCCTTATCTCTCCGCTTTAAACACAAAAAAAAGGACACAGATTTCTGTAGCATAATTCCTACATATATAGACCTATAGAGATAACTACCCCTAACTACATATAACTGTTTCAATTTACGCTTACAAAACTAACATAAAACTGCACCATAACTTCTCTAAAACTGCTTTTGAGTCACATTTCCAACAGTTGGTGATATGAATCTAAAATGTCTAAGGCGGAGAGAACATTTTTATCACGCATTCTTGCATTTCTCTTCATCACAGGTGAAATGTTGGACAAAGAAAACAACATTGCACTGCTCAACAGAGCTACATCTCCACCACTCAGCTTGCGGCTTCGAGAACTATCAAACACGCTGAAGTCAATATGTAAAACGTCAAACCCACCATGCACAGAAGCACTGGAGAAAAATCAAGGTTCCCCTATCAAATTACAAACGAAAGAAGGCTCGGAGAACAGCGACAATACTTCTGAAGCTGTTGTCAGTGTAGAGCTAAAAACACCCGAGAGAAGTATGGCTTCAAACATCGGCTATAGTCCTTGGAAGACATTCAGTGCTCATAGTTCTAAAGTGAAGGTAAGAAGGGTACACATTACCAGTCCACTAGTTGTGCAGATGCGGACCATTTGTGTTCGGATGATGTTATCAACATTACCAATGCACTGCTTCCTAAGTTTTACTATATTGATCTTAAAAATAAATTGTTTTTCTGTTGATGTTGCAGAACTCTGTCGTTGAAGAGTACCTCAAATTTTTAAACACTGCAGAAAAGTAAGTAATACTTGGTGAATATATTTCTAGTCGTTTGCTTTGAGACAAAGAGATAATCTGCTTGCTTTGGATTATATTCCTATTTGTTTTGGATAAAAACATCAGAAACATTATCTTAAATTCATAATTAGGAACCTACAGATTTGAGGCTTCTGGATCAGATTTAACAATATGCTTCAGAGTATATTTATTTCTACAACGATATTTTCTCTAAATATATTTATTTTTCGATCCTTATCGCTGGTTCAGAGTACACATGCTTCGTAATATTTTGGATATCTATCCAAGTTTGTTCCTATTTGATATGATAAGTAAACTAGACCTATTAATACTTTTCTGTATTTGTTTTTGGAATTACAGGGATGACCTGAAGAAGCTAAAGGTAAAAGTCCAAAAGAATACAAGCATGTTACGTGTCTGAGATAGTTATAACATAACCCCTAATACATGTTATCTTCATGGATGCTTAGGGCATAGGAGAAAAGAGAGCAGGTTATATAGTTGAACTTCGAGAAGAATCTCCTGAGCCATTCAAGACTGTAAGTTCACCTCCCTAATACAAACAAAGCTCTTGGAGGTTTAACATAAACATCTAATGGAACTTCTACATGGAAAAAAAGTCTTTGATGTATCTAGAACTAGAAGTAGCCCTCTGAATTTGTTAATATACATAACCTTTTCCTCTATATAAATTTGTAACGATAATTTGGCTAGTAAGTTTGTTTCTTTTGTCGCAGCTCGATGATTTAAAGGACATCGGACTCTCAGCGAAACAGGTAACACACCTAGCCTTTTCTCGATGTTTTTGTTAATTTCCATAAGTTGGTAAAAAATACAAGCTTTTTGAATCCTGCTTAAAATCCCAACCAGAACCAAGTCCAAAATCTAGATACTCTTGGGTTTTCAGGTCAGGCAGATAGTATTTGTGCAATGCAATTCGAAACCGAGATATGAGATCTCAAAATCCAAATACTCGAACATGTTTAGATTAGATGCATAGAGAAATATGGGTTGGTTAATAGACGTGAGATCTATTTGGAATCTATAAGTTTATTTTGCTAATCAAAGGGATTGAAATCTGAGATGTGTGCTGTTGCTGTGGTTCAACAGATCAAAGGAATGCTGAAGAAAGAAGTCGGAGACATTTTCAATTAGCAGGTGGACCGACAGTTTATATGTTGCAACAGAATGGTCCGAAGTATTTGTGAAGAGGCAATGTGAAGTTGCTATCCATGGATGTTGCCGGAAGAGTTTTATGTTCTTTCTTAACTATTTCAGCGTGTTGTGTTTGTGTGTTTCTGATAAAAAATACAATTCTGGTCAATTATAAATGCTGTTTTACACATAACCCAAATGCTATTTTTTTTTGTTAACGATTTAATCTTGTTATTTATTGATATTTATAAAAATATCTTTGGTTATTTAAATTCATATTATAATTATAATTATAGATTATTTTATTTTATTTTATTTTTATAAAATCTGGATTTGGATATTTTGTAGATATTTTCGATTGAATCGATAAATCTATTGGACCAGCTGTGGTGATCTCCAAACCGGACCGGTTCGTTCCAGTTTGGGAAACAGCTATACGGTCTGTGCCTCGCCTCAACTCAACACAGAGAGGAGCCCTCTGGACCATTTTTTCTCCGTTTCATCTCCAACGAAGTTAATTTGCAGGCGTGCGTGTCGGGTATTTCTTGCAATCCGATTCTCTCGAATCTGTTCGACTGAATCGAAGATGGTCTACGTTGCTTCCTGGGACGAATTCGTCGATCGATCTGTTCAGCTGTTCCGAGCCGATCCTGAATCTGTATGTTAGTTTTCTTCCAGCTCGATCTCTTCTTTCTCGGTTGCTTTTGGGGCTTTTTCGTTTGCGGGATTCAGATTTGATGAACACCGACAAGGGCTTGTATCTTGTACATTATGATTCTGCGGATGGAAAATTTCATGTTTTTTTTAAAAGTTCTTCTGTGAAGTTTGATTATTTTCTCGGCATCCAAACACATATTATGTATAGTTTCTGCAAATTGCATGATGAGTCCACGGATGTTTTCTAGAGAATTTGCTGGTTGATGATCTAATTTCTGGTGCAGACACGGTATGTAATGAAGTACAGACACTGCGAGGGAAAGTTGGTTCTCAAGGTTACTGACAACAAGGAGGTATGGGTCTGTGCACTCATTTGTCGTTGATTCTTACTGCCTTTTTTTTTTCCTGGGATTTCATAATTGTGATACACAAATGACATTTGAACGTATTGCATGAGCATGGAATTTGATATCTGCATATGAACTGAGGAAGTTCCACAGGCATATGATATTAGTTGATATTCTTAATGAAATGGGACAGGCTGATTTGGAGGAGGATTATTAGACTTAACCCTCTTTTAAGTCAGGCTCCTCTATGAACTGAATTTGTTGCACATTTGATTTCGGTTAGGTAACTTTTCGAATGCTAATGGACTCAATCATCTTCTATATTTGTTTGTTTTCCACAATGGTTCTCCCTATGAATACCGCAGAATGTCGTGTTTTCGCTGCGTTTTAGAGAGTTGATCATGGGTTAACCCGGGAATGGACAAGAACAAGATAATCAATTTCGATATCACGACTAGTAAGAGGCAGTTTTATGTTTCTTCTCTTCGGCGGTGTGGCTATTGTGCATGTTGATTGTTGGGTTGTTACCTTTTCCGGTAGTGTCCTTCCGAAGAAAAATAAGGTTCAATCTTTCGAATATAATTGCTCATCACAATTTTCAACAATTTAAGCTTGATTTTGTTTTTCATGTTAGTTGGTATTCTTCATAGAAAGCAGAATTGGCTTCTGTGGTTCACATTCTCTGCTTGCTTGAGTGTCTCCCAATATCATATGATATCTTTTGTTATACAGTTCGCGTCATTCTTTATGCAAATTTGCATCCAGAATAAACTGTTTTTGTATGTTTTCTGTTGCTGTGAAACAAATGATAGATTTAGTTTACGGTTTTATCAGTGTCTCAAGTTCAAGACGGACCAAGCACAAGATGCGAAAAAGATGGAGAAGCTGAATAACATATTCTTCACTTTGATGGCCAGAGGACCAGATGGTACACAAACTTTGCTTTTGTTCGATCTTCATTTTGCTTACCCGACCTGAAAAAAATGTAACTACTTCACAGTAGGAACTTGTACTATATCGTTTTGCTGGCTAAGATTACTTTCTTTCGGCATGAATTTTGCGATGGGTCGGTCCATATGTCAACTATTTATCCTATTATGAAACCATATAAACCCCTCCCTGCGGTTCGTGTTTATAACTTACTTACAAAAACGATGCAGTTGATCCATCTGAAGTAACTGGGAAAGAACAGATGGAAGGGCAGCCTGCAAAGAAAGGAAGGGGAAGGAAGCAATGAATCTGATGAAAATGGGCGTATGCTTTTTTTTTTTTAAACTTTAGTGATTTTGTGGACAAAAGTTTTGATTTTGTAATTGTTACAGTAACCTGTGAAAGTTCTTTGATGATGAAGAACCTCAACAAGGGTTACAAGCTTGTTGTTGGCTTTCTTCTTGGGAGAATTTGGTTCGTTTTCTCTTGTTAGTTGTTACCGGTCTTTGTCGCTTAGATATGTTTTTGATGAAAAATGACACAAACTAATTTTAAGTTATAAATCTATATAAATTTAGAAATTTCTAAATTGTATATATCTGCTAAGGTGGAAAGAAAAATTTAGATCTGTTCTATAGATGATTTACTTTATATGAACCAAATTTTTTTTTGGGTATCAAATTTGATGAAATTGGTGTCTTGAGATTCGAATATCAAAGAGAAAACGAAATGGGCTAATACCAAACTTGATGAGAATGAATAACTTTTGGATTGGATATAAAATAAATAACATCTAATTATATTATACTCGAATCAAATATAATTTTGGTATATGATTTTAAACTAGTTTAATAGATTTAGAGAAATGAAAATAATAAACGGAATACAAATAGAAATGCATACATTGCCAATGAACAGCAAAACAAAACCAAAGATTACTAATTTACTATACAAAACGAACTATTCTAACTACGTGAACCACCAATGAATACACAAACATGGCGTAGCCACGCCCGGAAACCCGAGAAGACAGCCGATAAATCTCGTACATCCTCTTCAGATAAACGGATCGATTCTTGAACTTCGACCAATCAAAGTCATACCAGTCGCCCGTTTGAAGAATGTGAAAATATGCGGCTTGCATTAACAGAGCACCTTCTACACAATATATACACGAAGCAATTGTTTAACCTAACCTCCGAAATAGGAAACAAAATATATATATATATATAACAACTTCCCATGTTTGTGGGATACGTAGTAATCTATCCCAATACCATACAACGAGGTCGCTATTGCAATACACAAACCCAAACTACAAATCTAGAAAACCATATAATATGTACTCGAGCAAGATGCAGCACCATCGGCATTCGAGCTTCAGATTCACTCTCCCTTGCTAAATTTCGGTCAACTTCCCAATTGTGTCACAACATGTCATTTAGTACTTGTTTTGTTTTGCCGGGAAATGTTTCTATTGACATGTTGGGCTTTGATTGTTTTCTAAAGGGATAGATTGTATCAGCAAGAAAAGGAAACCTTGCATATTCTCCTGCATATCTGCATCGTCTGATTGTATTGCCATATTCATCTCCTAGGTTAGAACATGTTGAATCTGTATATATATTCTGTAAAGAACCGATCAATGGAAGCCGAATTCTTTTGCTCTGTTTGGTCTCTCGATACATGACATGGTATCAGAGCCCGAACTTCCGAAATACACGACCTGATTCACCCTCAAATGCACTCTGCAACCGAATCTGATTCGACCCCCGACTCGACAACCCCGACTCTAAATCCAAACCCGACAATGACACCGACGACAACACAAGACCCTGTTGTTCCTCGACGAACAATTTCACCATACGACTTGACCACGAGTGATAATCCCGGCCTTGTTCTCTCCCAACCTCTGCTCAAGGTAGACAACTATGATGAATGGAGCATCAGCATTCGACAGGCTCTCAAATCTCGCAAGAAATTTGGGTTCGTCGACGGAGCGATACCGAAACCAGACCCTGCGAACGCCGACTTTGAAGATTGGGACATGAACAACGCCCTCATAACCTCGTGGATCAAGAACACTCTTGAACCTCATCTTCCATCTGATGTAATTCACCGAGAGTATGCCCAAGATTTGTGGGACTATCTCAAACGTAGATTCGGGAAGACGAATGCCCCTCGCCTTCTCAAAATTAGAAGCGAGCTCACAAATTGCAGACAATTTGGTATGTCCGTGGAATCCTATTTCGGAAAACTTACCAAATTGTGGGATGATGTTGCCAATTTCCGAAATCTGAAACATTGCAAATGTGGCCGATGCACTTGTGATATCGCCGGTGCTCTCGAAAAAGAACGCAATGAAGATCGTCTATATGAGTTCCTTCTTGACCTTGACGAATCTAGGTATGGCATTGTCTGATCTAATCTCCTTTCGCGCCAGCCCCTTCCAAGCCTTGAAGAAGCCTATAGCACTGTCATCCAAGATGAGGAAACCAAAAACGTTTCCCAGCTCCCTGACGACAAAAGTGAAGCTGCTGCATTATCTGTTCGCACAACCCTCAAGCCACGGCCCAAACCAGAGGACAAGATCAAGTCCGAGCTCTGCACTAACTGCTCTTGTCCTGGACACCACGCTGATTCCTGCTTTCAACTCATTGGTTTTCCTGACTGGTGGGGGGAAAGGCCTCGCAATCGGATAGGGGGGCCGTGGCAGAGGGACACAATCATCTGGTCTTGGTCGCGGAACTGTGGCTCGAGCTAATGTTGCTCAGGTTGCTTCTTCTTCCTTTGATCAGGCAATTCCAGATGCTGACAGAAATATTATGAGTGGTATTACACAGGACCAGTGGCAATCTTTGCTCGCAATGCTCCAGACCAACAAACGTGATTCACCCGAAACACTCTCTGGTACGTATTCGAAAACTCCCTGGATTCTTGATACATGATGCTCGCAACACATGACTGGTGAGCTGTCCTGTTTAGCCGACATTTCTCCGATTCCTCCTTGCTCAGTGATTTTGCCGGATGGTCGAACAGTGTATTCGGTTAGATCGGGATCAGTTCATCTCGGCACTCATATTCGACTGCGAAATGTTTTGTTTGTTCCGGGACTTCACTGCAACTTGGTATCAATCTGTCAGTTATTGGTCGAGAATGACTGCTTTGTCACATTTGCTCGTTCGTTATGTATTATCTAGGACCGCACTTCCAGGATTCCGATTGGAGCGGGTGAACAGAAAGCCGACCTCTATTACTTTCGAGGGACAGCAAGTTTGGCAGTAGCACGAACGAAGGACACACACGCGATTGATATCTGGCACAAGCGTTTGGGTCATCCATCGTTTCATGTTATGAAGAAGCTTTCTGTTCTCTCTTTTATAGCTGCAAGTTGTTTTGATAATAAGCACTGTGATGTGTGTTTACGAGCCAAACAGACTCGACATTCTTTTCCCATCAGTTCTAATAAAACTTCAGCCATTTTTGAGTTGGTTCATTGTGATTTATGGGGACCATATCGTACGTCTTCATCTACGGGTGCCAAATATTTCTTGACGATTGTTGACGACTACTCGAGAGGAACATGGATTTATTTGCTAACAGGGAAAAATGAGGCTTCGACTAAGCTTCGAGACTTTGTGGCTCTTGTCGAAAGACAATTTAACACAGTAGTGAAGAAGATCCGTTCGGATAACGGATCTGAGTTCATAAGCATGCGCAATTATTTTTCTGCGAAAGGGATCATTCATGAAACGTCTTGCATAGGCACGCCCCAACAAAACGGTCGTGTCGAACGTAAGCATCGTCACATTCTCAATGTGGCTCGAGCTTTGCTTTTCCAAGAAAATCTACCAGTCGAATTTTGGGGAGAAAGTGTCCTTACTGCGGGTTACCTGATAAACCGCACTCCGACTGAGATTCTTGATGGTAGAAATCCGTATGAACTGATTCATGGTCAAGCTCCGAAGTATGATCATCTGCGTGTCTTCGGCAGCCTTTGCTACATGCATAACCAGAATCGTCTAGGCGATAAATTCGCACCTCGTAGCTTCCGATGTGTCTTTGTTGGCTATCCAACGGGCCAAAAAGGACGGCGAATCTACAATATTGAGACTAAAAAGTTTCTTGTCTCCCGCGATGTTAATTTCGTCGAAGCCACATTTCCCTTCTCGGATGCTGCACTTTCCTCTGATTCGAAAAGGAAACCTGTTCAGCATACTTCGCCATTGTTTGTTGATGATGACAGAATCAGTTACTTGCCCACTCCGACAGTGCACTCATCTACTCCGCCTATCCAACATTCGCCACTTGACTCTCCTGGGTTTTCCGATGCTGCTGACAGATCTGAGGACCATCCACTTTCCTCGTCTTCGGATAGTCAATCTTCGCCCTTTCCTGCTGTCTCTGTTGCATCTCCCGCTCTGATGAGGACCTCGATATCTCGAGCGATGCATCAAACTATGTCTTGCGGGTGAAGGAACGCATGGAGCTAATGATAGCTTGGATCGGGAGCACGGAGTTAGGAGTTCAACGAGATATCTTGGAGCTTAAGCAATGCTTGGAATGCAAGGATTGCATGGATTGCTTGGAACGCAAGGAGCACACGGAGAAGTCCAATTCCGAGGAGATCAATGATATTTATAAGGCAAAATGGGATTTCCAAAACTTGAGGGTTGCACGACCAAAGGTTAAGCCCGCTCCGCCCAAAATTCGAGCCAAGACGCGCGTTCTTCAACAACGTTCCAACACGTTCATTTCCGACGCATTGAAGTAACTCCGTTTTGAAAGATCAAGCCCAACTCACTTTAGTGAACCTCAAGGACGTCACATTATCAAGATTTTGGTCCAAAAATAATGCCAAGTCGAGCTGAGTTTCATGACATATTGCAACAGCTACATTTTTCAATTTCTAGGCACATTTATGAGTAGTCTTGCATGTGTTTTGTGCATTTAATGCACTAGTTGTTGGAGCCTTTGTTCTCTCTTTAAATTCAGATGTAAACATCACAATTTGGTAGTCTTGTTGAATGAATTTCGTTTTTGTTGAGTTTATCTCTAAACAATCTTTCGGTTTATCCGAAAATCCCGAGCTCAGTGCGTCCGGCTCATCCTTCGGTTTGTCCGAAGCCATACTCGCCATCTTCCCCTTCGTTTCCGCCATCCATTATCTGATTCTCTCTTGAATTCGAGTGCCACTTGAGTGAGCCGGTGATTGAGAGAGTTTCCCGTAAATCCCCTTCGATTAACCCCGTTTGTTCGTGAATTCGAGAGCCGCCTAACGCGAGCCGGGTGATAACAATCAACGGTTCTTCGTAATCACGCGTTTAAAACAGATTTTTCGGTTGCAGATTTCGAATGATATGTCAATCAACGTGAGCAAGGATAACACGATTCTAGACACACATAAACGTGCAAATGATTCACAATGTTCTTCACACAAGCTGTTCGATATACCAAGCAAAGGAAGTGATCACACAAATCTGATTTTTGGAAGATGAACGGTGAACAATGACACA